CCACCCCCCCCCCCATGTGCGTTCCAGGATGGGAAAATGGCATGTGCGGGCGAGGGTTAATCAATATTGACGCAATGGTGACGTCACGGTCGCCGTCGACGTCACCATTCGAATCAGAGTCAGTGACTTGTGCCGAATATCAAGTTTAATATTGATGCTTCAACGGATCTATATCAGCCGAAAACACCTCACATTCCTTTTTACTCGCTAGATGGCAGAAGCGTCAAACGCCTGAATGTATGCTGTGCCGCAATGCTGGCTCTATTGTATATAACCGCCTAAATGAATGGCGGAGTAATAAGGGATCCGGGATAACCACTATCTCTTTAGAACTGATGACTCGCACGAAACTGAAGCTTTTAAGGACGATTATCGAGTGTGGTAAATGCGTGTGGCATTTTCAATCCAAACATTCCGTTTTACTCGCTAGATGACGCAGAAGTGTCAAACGCCTGAAAGCATGTTGCGCCGCAGTGCCCCCTCTTCCGTATGTAGCCGCATGAATGAAGATTGAAGCGCAATCGGCGCAGCCGTTGTCGCCGGTGTCAGGTGTGTGCCTACATAGAGGTCCAACCATGCCGCTGAAATTGATCTATCACACAAAGCTTTATAACAATGCGCGTAGTAATTTTCTTAACAAACGCAAAAAAAAACTAATAGGTGTGGCTACAAGCGCCCCCGCCCCAATCGGGCGGAGGTTATTGTGTTTTGGTAGCACTCACCGATTGTTTCCTGGTCTAGTCTTCTACAGCAATCACAGACACATTTCGATTGCGGCCAACTATGCAAAACATAGCCCGGTGAAGGGCTGCTCCGGTTGTTTTTTTTTCAATAGAAAACAATTCTAACGAATAGTGTTTGTCTAATGAAGAAACAACCTGCGGTTACCCGCCGCCAAACGAGAGGATGGGCCTGGCACGTGCAGACCGGAGTGGGTGCGCTACGAACTGACGAACAGGACAATCTACTAACCACTCTAGAGGTGTGTAAAATTGAGTGCAATCGGCCCGGTCGTTTTCGAGATCTTGAAGCGGCAACCTTCACGTGCGCACGTGCAACCTGGGTCCCAACTGACTTGTGCACGGCACCCTAGTTGCCGGTCTCTAGTGGTGTACGGAATTTGAGCTCAATCGGCCCAGCCGTTTTCAAGATCTGGAAGCGACCCCTATCACGTGCGTACGTGCAGTTGCACCCCAACCGTGACACATGAATATACATACTAACTGACTTGTGCACAGCACCCTACTAACCGGTCTCTAAAGGTGTGCCGAACTTGAATGCAATCGGCCCAGCCGTTCCTGAGATCTGGAAGCGTCACCCTGCACGTGCGCACGTGCAAGATGGGTCCTAACTGACTTGCGCACGGCACCCTACTAACCGGTCTCTAGCGCTGTACCAAATTTGAACTCAATCGGCCCGGCCGTTCTCGAGATCTCGAAGCGTCACCCTGCACGTGCGCACGTGCAGTTGCACCCCAACCATAGCACATGAAAAGGCCTGGTCCGGCGGGTGCCTACATCCTTGTGTAGTTTCAGTGCAATCAGCCAAGTAATTACCGTGTTATTGTCATTACAACAAAAGTGGCACCTCTCCGTTTTACACGTGTCACGTGCAGTAGGGGTCACCGGCATGCATCATCCATAGTAAATACTTCTAAGAAGGGTATACGCTACCCCACACAAAAAACCGCAAGAGTATCGGTCCCCTGCTTGCGGAGATATAAGTCGTACAAAAACGTCCCCACGGAGGCCGGCCGCTAATATTTAGCATTAAATCGCATCCTTCAATGGGAGGTATCCCCGTCACCTGTTCGTATACTGTCTGAGCAAGACCATATATAGGTGTGAATTCAAATCTCGGTAATGTCGTGCTTTTTTACTAAATTTCTCAAAAACGGCACAACGTGCAATAACGCTCTATATATCATTGGAAGGAGCATCAAAAGTTGTATAACTTATCAACTTTTCACTTAAATATATCTTCAACGTACAAAGTTATTAAGCACCAAAGACGCTCCCATTGACTTTCCATGTTTAAATTTTTCATTTTTAAACGACCTTAAAAAGACCAAACGAATTCTGAGAGCTTAACGAAGCATAACAACATGTTCTATGGTCGTTTCTCAACATGTCCTGACAGTTTAAGCAAAATCGTATCATATAGTTTTGTACAATGAACAAATGAAAATGTCTCTGCAAAAACGCCCATTGACTTAACATGGGGAGCAAAAAAACTTCAACTTCAAACTCGTGCAACTCAAGTAAACGAATTCTGACGGGTATACGGCGCACACGGGCGTGTACCTGAATGTGTCGGTCATAAAATGGTGTGCAGCAAACCATACCTTGTTCCGCGATTTTTTCCGCTATTGGCGATCGCGCAAAAAGTGTCCAAAACCCCATTGACTTAACATGGGCGAAAATTGAAACGCACGTGCCACGTGCCACGAGGTTTTAAGCGAGTAGCGACCGGTGCCATCAGGTAGATCGCCTGCTGGAGCCCATACCCTGAACTTTTTACGAAGATTGAGCGATTCGTCTAGGCCCCGGTCAAGTTGTACTGATTCGCTGCCAGACTTGCAAAACATAGCCCGGAGAACGACCGCTCCGGTTGTTTTTCAATAGAAAAACACAATTCTAACGAATAGTGTTTGTCTTTACAAACAACCTGCGGTTACTAACCGGTCTCTAGCGGTGTGCCAAATTTGAGTGCAATCGGCCTGGCCGTTTTCGAGATCTCGAAGCGACACCCTGCACGTGCGCACGTGCTACCTGGGTCCCAATTGACTTGTGCACGGCAATCTATTCGCCGGTCTCTAGCGGTGTACCGAATTTAATCTGAGTCGGCCCAGCCGTTTCCAAGATCTTGAAGCGACCCCTACACGTGCGCACGTGGAACTGCACCCCAACCGTGGCACATGAAAATACATACTAACTGACTTGTGCACGGCACCATACTAATCGGTCTCTAGAGGTGTGCCGAATTTGAGTGCAATCGGTCCAGCCGTTCTTGAGATCTGGAAGCATCACCCTGCACGTGCGCACGTGCAAGATGGATCCCATCTGACTTGCGCACGGCACTCTACTAACCGGTCTCTAGCGGTGTACCAAATTTGAGCTCAATCGGCCCGGCCGTTCTCGAGATCTGGAAGCGTCACCCTGCACGCGTGCACGTGCAGTTGCACCCCAGCCGTAGCACATGGAAAGGCATGGCCCGGTGTGTGCCTACATCCTTGTGTAGTTTCAGCAGAATCTCCTCAGGAATTACCGTGGTATTGTCATTACAACAAAAGTGACACCTCTCTGTTTTACACGTGTCACGTGCAGTAGGGGTCACCCGCATGCATTGTCCATAGTAAAATACTTGTAAGAAGGGTATACGCTACCCCATACAAAAAACCGCAAGTGTATCGGTCCAGTGGCTGCCGAGATATAAGTCGTACAAAAACGTCCCCACGGCGGCAGGCCGCTAATATTTAGCATTAAATTCGTGTCGCATTCTTCTATGGGAGGTATCCCTGTCACCTGTTCGTATACTGTCTGAGCCAAGGCCATAATAGGTGTGAGCTCAAATCTCGGTAATGTCGTGCTTTTTTACTAAATTTCTCGAAAACGGCACAACGTGCAATGACGTTCTATATATCACTGGAAAGAGCATCAAAAGTTGTATAACCTATCAACTTTTCACTTAAATATATCTTTAACGTAAAAAGTTATTAAGCATCAAAGACGCTCTCATTGACTTTGCATGTTAAAAAAATTCTTTTTTAAACGAGCTTAAAAAGAACAAACGAATTCTGACAGCTTAACGAAGCATAACGGCATGTACTACGGCCTATTCTGAATAAGTGTTGAAAGTTTGGACAAAATCGTATCATATAATTTTGTACAATGAACGAATGAAAATGTCTCTGCAAAAACGCCCATTGACTTAACATGGGGAGCGAAAAAAGTTCAACTTTGACCTCGTGCAAAGGCACGTTACGAAATTCTGAGGGGTATACGGCGCACACTAGCGTGTACCCAAACGTGTTTGCCATAAAATGCTGGGATGAAAACCACCCCTTTCTTGGCTCGTTTTTCCGCCATTCCCGATGGCGCAAAAAGTGCCCCAAACCCAATTGACTTAACATGGAAAAAATGGAATGGCACGTGCCACGTGCCACGAGGTTTTAAGCGAGTAGCGACCGATGCCATCAGGTAGATCGCCTGCGGGAGCCCATACTCTGAACTTTTTACGAAGATTGAGCGATTCGTTTAGGAGAGGCTCAACTTGTACTGATTCGCTGCCAGACTTGCAAAACATAGCCCGGAGAACGACCGCTCCGGTTGTTTTTCAATAGAAAAACACAATTCTAACGAATAGTGTTTGTCTTTTCAAACAACCTGCGGTTACGTGTTCTACGAACTGACGTGCACTGCACTCTACGCCGCCAACCGCAAAACGCCGCAAAAAACGGCCGCCCGCCGTCAAACGCAAAAACCGCAAAAATGCGCCCGGCCGCCGCCAACCGAAAATAAACCTTTTACCGAAAACGACGCAAAAACAAAATCACCCGTTTCGCGGCGGGCGGGCGATGGGCGAATTTTTTATGGGCGATTTTTTTAGCCAAACTCAGACTCGGGCTCTGAGTGCAGCCTGAGTTATAGATGTCGCTGTCATTCAGCCACTGAAACAAAAGCGCCACGATTACCGTCAAATCATATTTCCTACGCGGCCGAGAAAAAAATGAAGCGGAAAGTGAGTAAGTAAGACCTACCTGACACACGGTACAGTTGTTTTGAACATCACCAGTTGAACCACGAGGCATCCATATTCCATACCAACGAAAAGTTTTCCATCTCTTGGTATATTAGCCGTAGGCTAATATTCCAGGCAGCGGCACGAGGAGCCGGATGGAGGAAACATGGATGCACGCTTGGTAAGGGCTGGATAGTATATTAGGACGTGAGCTTTACCAAAAGGCATCCACGCACCGCGCTGCCCGCCCTTGACGCCGTTAGCAAAAAAGTTGGCTCCAAATGTGATAGCCATCTTTCAATTACGTTAATTCAAGTTCGAAAGATGATTGGTGTTACTAAAAAAAGACTACGTCAAGAGCCCGTTACGATGTAACGGAAGACAAACCAGCCACTCCACACCAAGGCAGTTTTTCACACGCATTCCTGCATTCACACTCGCCATTTCGTGCACCGGCCTGCCCGCTGCACAACGTAATATCTATGGCAACTATACTGTCTAAGGCATGATTGTTGCTCCTAATGGTTTTCTTTTTTCACAGACTGGAGTGTGCTTTACATGAAAATATAATGTAGTAGATGATACCTGCTCATTTCATCACTAAACGTGTGAAATGTTCAAATCATGTTGGCATGTGGATAAGATCCGAGACTAGGAATTTAAAGTGTAGAAATGTCGGTGGCTGCTGGACGCATCTGCAACTGAGCTCATGGTCCTAATCATCCGCGAAAGTGACGAAACTACAGGAATGTCACGATAAAGATGCGCAGTACCCTGTATGTTCATGGCATACAGCTGCAAGCTAAGACAAAACTAGAAACGATCTTTGGGTAGAACATATAAAGTGAAGCAATACCAATGCAGAACTACTTGGAGTCACAGGAACCAGTGTGTCCAACATATCAATCAGCTAACATGTAAGGACGCATGTGTAAGGCCGCATGTGCAACTGTAATCCCTCTTGATCGACTACAAGAATGGAAAGAAAACGTCAACGGAGTAAAACTTCACCATGTGAATCTGCGTATAACTGGCATTCGTGATCAAGTATGCACAACAGATGTGAGGTGAGGACGCGGTGTCATTGCGATACAACATCAACTGATGCAATATTGGAATGCATTTTGCACTCATTCTTGCATATTGATAAGATAAAAAGTAAGGCGATAATGTGGATAAGTGTGTTGACAGATGTCGAAGACTGACGATGATTACGAACTGCTTAACAGGCGACCGGATTGACGGTGATGCGCCTGACCGATCGTTGGAGTGCATGTCGCATCTGATGTCTATGGAAAACGGCAAAGGAGAAAACAGGACTATGGTGAAGGGCTGTTCTAACATCACATAAAACGGGAATGAGCAGTAACACCTGCCAATGAAAGCAGTGAAAAACAGCGAAACTGCCTGTTTATCCTGCCATGGTGCTAATGCCCAAAGTCAAGTTTTGTTTGTGTGTGTGTGTGTGGAAAGCGGTAGGGCCCTATGCGCTAAGCTATCATCCGTTTTAGCTTTGGTATCACAATACAAGTATTAGGTGCTCGCACACTACTGCCAGTAGTTCAGTCGGTACTGAGTAGCCCGCAGCTAATAACAACCTGATATTTGCTTCCTGCACAAACGTAGATGGCGGCTAGCATTATGGAAGTGTCTTTACATGATGAGTCTGATCGACGATGATGAATGAAATAATCATTTGAACTCGTTGAAAGATGACGATGTCCGGGTCACAACGAAGTGACTTAAAACTTGCAGGATGAATAACTGATGATTGGGCCGATGAATGTGGCTTGTGCTGCAGCCGAGGCCTGTGGGGACGGACGACCGGTGAGGTACAAATGGAGCAAGGAAACGAGACGTGAATGTACACCAAGCACAATGATATTTAGCTATCATAAGCGTTGACAATGGTGAATAGTCGAGCTGTTCGTCATATTGAGCCTTCACGTCATAGCCATTGCAATATCAAGCTCCCCAAATTGTCATTAGCTTTCGCAGCCCAAGTCCAGTATTGAGTGCTCAAAGAACTTGCCAAGGCAATATAGCTGTGAGCAGCCCGAAGTTCATGGACGGATGATGACCTTTCCCTCTAGCAAAAAGTAGACGACGTCCAGCGCTATAGTCGAACAGTGCCACTGCCAGAAAGGGAGAAGGTTTGCGAAATTCGGTTCGAATATCGGGAATTCGGGAATTCGGTTAGATGGTTATGGAATGGACCATATTAAGGCATTTAGAATATCCTGCGCACGGTTTTCCTGAAAACCTGAAAACCGTAGATAGTGGGAAAACCTCAGGGGGGGGGGCGGAAATCCGCCCCCCCCCCCCCCCGGTACGCGGGATATATTTGATTGATATGTGTAGGCACTGCTTTAAAAATACAGTAAAACACTGAAAACTAGTGATGTCAATTACGGAAAATCGGAATACCGATACCAAACCAAATACCAACCAAAACCGTGGAGAAATATACCGAAACCAAACCAACTTGGGAACATGAGGAAAAAACCAACTTTTTACCGATTTCTTAGCCTCTTAGACATTAGCGAGGGTTCATGATACCAACAAAATACCAAACACATTAGGATTGAAATACCAAATACCGAGTTGGTATCGGTTTGGTATCGGTATACCAAAAAGTTGGTATCCGATTGACATCTCAACTGAAAACTAAAGCAACGTTGGAATGATTTTCCGTAGGTATGCGTTTAGTTAGCCAAGCAAACAAAGTCACAGGCTCTTGCACATATTACAGAGTGCTCCGGCACTGGTGTAACAAACAACTCACTTGCACTGGGGTTCGGGCTCACAGAGTAGATCCAACAGATAACAGGTCGCATTCAGCATTGCGCCGGACACTGCTGAAAATGTTGACAAGTGTCTGTCAGTAAACGCAAACATCAATCCCAATTGATAGGTACATGAAGACGATGACAAACATGTTGGCATTGTGTAGGAATGAGGACAGTAAATGATCACACAAAATGTAAAGCATTCTGCAACGTGTTGACAATGGACATTCAAATATGAATACATACCAGCCGTACGCAAGTGCCTTCGAAAATGTTGATCTCTTGATGGTGATGGAGAAGGTGTATCACGTCCACAGGCTTCAAGAAGTCGATCCATTGTCCGCATATTGTTAAATTTGGTCATCACATGTCCGTTTTCAACGCATCCGTAAACCGATGGCGAGAGCATTTAAGAACGTTTGAGCATGTGACTGAAATACTCAAAGACACAAGTTGGAGGAAGGAGCAGGCGAAAAAAGAAAGATAACAACACAGTGTATGAGCATCGTGTTCCAGTGCTAAAAATATAACTGAACAGGAAATGCAATATCATGTGTGGATCGCTCATGAGTGTGAACACATGCTTACATAGATGCATACCTACACTATACGAAAACATGACCGCTTTTTACGAGTGATTAACTGCTACATTCAGTGAACTGCATCATGTGGTACATGTTTGCGGGCGGAGCATGTCTACCGAATTCATCGGCAATACAATTAAAACAAACACACACATACGTAGAACTAGATGATGAGACTTGAGAGCTAGTGTAAGCGGGTGTACAGGTGGCTAATGCATATCTGCAGATAACTAATAGCTAGTGACAAATAAAAAAGTGCCAGCAACGGCCAGCGCAATGGGTGCTCCGTGATCGACGGTAAAATCTTCAACGGTATCGACGGTAAAGATGACAGGTAATGCACCTGTGAAAATAGGAGAAGCAACGGATGATTAGCTGACATGACAGCAAGTCGAAACGAATCGTCGATAAAATATAATATGTCAAGTCCGCGGATTTCTAAGCTTATGATTTTTCGATTTCGACGACTGTGAGTGAAAATGCATATCAGATGAGATATTCGATAAATATTACTAAAACCCTTAGAAGTCAATAGGCAGAGGGCTACAAGCCTACTTTATTCAACGTTGAATACCCACCCATAAAGGTCAGTTCATCCGAGTATTACCGCCTCCAAAAAATATTAACGTTTTGTAGGCATACAGTACCGTAAAACCGTTTGGAATCTTGGAGCAGAGCTGTTCGTTAAGCTAACAGCATCCTTTGATAATGAAATGGGCCGGAGGCAGAAACTGGCACTTGAGAATGCAGAGGCAGTCATCACACAGTCCCAGAAGACGTGACTGGACAAGGCGTCCAAGCGGCGCCTGGTCATACACGGTTGCCATTGGATACTGCGAAATCAGCCTGCAGGCACATAAGGACAAGGAGTTAAAGTTTTGAACACGCTTTTCGTTCCCTTGTTGCATTACAAAAAAAAAAAATATTAACGTTGTGTAGGCATATCTGGTTTGGTAGCGTGTACCATTATGCTCCCATTCCACTTACTGGTCACAGATCCAAACTCATGAAACTCCTAGATGCCGTTCATGATGACGAGTGTGTTCAATGAAGCTTATTCTGATGCATGATGCACTGGTATGGTATGGTATGGTATTTGTAGCTTACGGGCCACCACAGCGTCCTGTATTTGGGCCCGGTTCTGTCGTCCGTCTTCGTTGTTGGTCCGTCCGTTGCCTTGAAGTGTCCGTTGTCTTCTTGGCTCGTAAGGGTGGGCTGAGGGGTGGGACTGGGTTCCTAGCTATCTCCTCCCGGGTAGCCGGATTGCCCCTTCTATTATTTTTTTTTGTTTTTGTTTTTTTTTTGCCATTTTGCCATTCTGGGGTCTTTTATTTTGATTCTCATTGTTTTGAATATTGTTTTTTCTTTTTTGCTTCTTTTTTTGGCTTTTTTGGCTTTTTTGTCCTTGGCTCTAGGGGAGGAGATTTACAGGTCATTGATCAGCCCAGTGTTGTGTCTTTAGTGGATGAGTAGTGTTGTTAGCTCGGGGTGTAAGTCCCCGAGCAGTGTTGTGAGTGTTAGTGGGATGTTGGCGTCTCTGCAGTATGTTTGTATGTGTGTCCTGTGGTGTTGGTATTGTGGGCATGTGAGTAGCAGATGTTTGACAGTGATGAAAGTGTTGCAGGTGTTGCATTTCGGTCTCGGGCTTCTTGTGATGATGTAGTTGTGTGTGATAGCGGTGTGTCCAATGCGAAGTCGTGTGATAGCCCTCTCGTTTTTGCGTGAGTTCATGTTCTTGGTGTGCCAGTGTTCTATGCGTGGTTGAATGCATCATGCACTTCTGGACAGTGATTGATATCCGACTTGCTTGGGCGAGTGTATGCGAGTGATGTGTAGTGGTGACCAATTGTACCAAAAGAAAATGACATTGAGAACATGATTTACAAGCGCAACATGCGGCACAACTCACGTGCATACAACGACAAGAAAAACAGGAAATGTCGTAAATGACGCCATAAAACATTGTATGGCCTACAAATATATCCGCAACGCAATCCTGGCTTGAGCTAATTCAGTACCTACTTTCGCGGGAACACTTTAACTCATGTAGGTAATGTTCACACGACGCAAGACTCATATACAAACATACAACACTAAAAACACAGAACACGGACATTTTGTAGCAGTATTGCATTGTATCAGCAGCGAGGTGGAAAACTGGCGGCATCTTTGTCTCAAACTACGTGCCAGCGGTGCAATAGGCAGCTGGCATTCAGATCTAGCAATAATGTGTGCTCATGATGTTAATGGCAACTGTGAGGAGGATGAAACAATTCTGAATTTGATAGGACAAAACTGTCTGGCCAATCTGTTCCGAGCACAACTCACTTTCCCTGGACATGCAGAGTATGTGTTGCTGTGAGTTAGGTACTTATCAGATGTCACATCGCTCTGCTTATGGTAGACCTGCAATATGTGACTTGCATGTAAACCCTGCCAGCAGCATGTAGTTTTGCACAATAAAACTGTTTTCTCTGTGTGGGCTTGCATATTTCGTTGGCAGCAGGCAGGCACAATGCTAGTTCCATACACCACTGACTACACGCACCCATGCACGTATTTACTTGAAAACTAGTACCAATTCACTCATTCACTAAATTACGTGTAAGATGACACGCACACCCTCACATACGCACATACATACCCACACACCCACATCCACCCTTACACACTCACAGGCACACATGCTCACAAATACCAATCATTCAGGGTTTCCGATGAGATGAAGTGTGTCTACTGTTTTCTGCCACATTACGTCATCACCAAAAGGATTGAATCAAAAGTATCTAGGGTTAAGAAGCATAAACAATTGCTGACACATACTTGTCACTTACTTCTAATATGCCCTACTGCAACCATAAGATTCAGTTGAACCACTTTGCTCATCTTTACTTTCAAGCTGACAATCAGCATTGACGAATCAGCATTGGTTTGGCCTTCATGAAAGCTTACGTCAATAGCGCAAATAAATAACTTGCTTGTAGACGAATGGCTTTTAGTATGAATGCACATAGGTAAAGTGAACTGCGCACATGCTGTGACAAACTTTTGTTTGCCTAGTAAGAAAACAGTAGACACACTTGCTAGTTTGGATAAAGGGATATTCTCGTGCGTGTAAACGGTTAATATATTCGAATTTGAGGTTGACAAAATGTCAACGGTCGTTTGTGACGAACGGGGACTATATAGTAACAGTTACTGAAGTTTGGAGGACGTATCGACTGCTGAAATAATGTTTGCCAATGAGCAAGAACATCATGCGATAACATGATTAACCAGATACGTTAGTTCCGACTAACATTGCGTCGTAGTTTCGGATACTCCGAATGGAACTTGAAAACGTTAACAAATACTTTTGTTATCGGCCATCGTACAATGCTTGAAACAGTGCCTAAAGCAAACAGTCAACGTCCGTAAATATAGTCTGGTGCAGCATGTGCACTAATGGTATTGAGCATGCATGTCGATGACCCGACATGCACGTCATGGACAGTGCAGTATGACGAGAATATCCCTTTAGTTGTTAAGAAGTTGAAGGTCTTGAAGTAGAAGGTCTTGAAGTTGAAGGTCCGCGGAGAAAGCTCGCCACCGTAGACACTATAGCCGGGGATAACAGCAGCAATTAAAATTTCATTTGGCAAATAAGTGACGATGAGGCACAACTGCAAATAATCTTTTTCTTGACCGCCTTCCATCAGCAACGTGCTATAGTACCATAATTGCCAGAAGAAAACCGCTCATTCGCAGCCTCATTTTATAGACATCTGTTGAAGGAAATATATTTTCTTTTAACCTTTAACAAGTCCGCAAACTTTGCTTGGCATGAGCGATTAAGCGCTAGAAGTTGAAGCTTGATCTAACGAAAAAGGAAACAATACTTAAGCTCATGATGCATAGACAAATATGCACTGAGAGTCCGGATGCGGCAGTGAAAGCGTGTGTCAACTGACGCAAGGTTACAATGCTATTTACCGACGAAAAACGCGATTTTGAAGCATTTTCGTGGATAAAGTGAATGTAGACTCAGACGTATTAGGTAATAGTATGCTTGAATAATGAAAAATATCAATTAAAGAGAAGCTTTGCACTCACTCATTGTGCAAATGTAGCAGCCTAATAGCATTTACATAAAGCATCTCAATTTTATCTTCAATTGCTGCCGTGATATCTTATCCCCGACCTTGCCTCGCACATGACGACCCGTGGGGGGAGTCTGGTATCCACCGCCAGCAATTGTGCACACTGGTTCGGTGGACTGGACGTAAAATGACGCCACTCTACAACAGACTCATGATCTCCGAGTGAGATCGATCTCCAAGTGAGACCTGGGTTTAGAGGCGCTTTAGCATGGAAAGCTCCTCAAGGCTCCCGTCGCGTGCCTCGCAAATGATACGAGCCATACGCGCCCCCCGGGATTTTAGCCCATGCAGGCTGTTTTTTGAGATGAAGTCTCCACTAACGTTACGTCAGCTTGTGCGTCACCAGTTTCAACAACGAGAATAGTTTATGTTTGGATTAGACGGATGATATGCTTCCTAGCAATGTGGATACATAAATGAACTGTCAGGTAAGCTGAAGCCACCAAAGGTAGATTAGATATCGAACAAGTTTTGTGCAATTTTTATTGCACAGTTTTGTTTTTAAAACAAAGAATGCATTATGCAGTCATTGCTTCGTGCATTCCATTGGAAGCAAAGCTTCTAATTATCGTCTGCAAGTGAACTGATGATTTTAAGAATGGACGGCACAAAAATAGGACGCCGGTATTTGACAGAATACGTTAATTTACACAAATACGATTAAAGGGACCCTCCCACCTTCAAAAAAGTTTATGAATTGGCATAAAAGTGATGTCGCTCGGTTCAGAAAGAGCGAAAACGAATATCTACCAAATTTCACCGAAAAATATTCACCGGTTTTCAAGATATTGGACTTTTACTTTTGTTTACTTTTTGGGATCTCCGCTGTTCCTAGCGACTTTATTTGGAAGCAATAGGTTGGCAGCTCAAAGCAACATATACCACCACGTGCTACAAAACGTTTTAGTCAAACATGTAAAATTCGTTAGATATCTGCGCTGACGTCACACATTCAGAGGGGTATTCCTATGCATTAGCCCCTCTGAATCAAATTGCTGCAATTTTGAAATTCAATATTTCCAATTTAAGGCATTTATCGATGTTGTGAGCAGGGTTGTATACGACTCAATCAATAGCAATCAATTCAATCACGACAAATTTGGGAAACCAATCAAATCAATCAAGTCAGAGCAGTTTTCGGGAATTGATTCAATCGACTCAAACGCGACAATGAAAGGAATCAATCAACTCAATCAAACGACTCAAACCAAGACATACATTAGGTTTTTTGCCCCACCAACTTGGAAAAGTGTCCATAGCAGTCTGGTGTACCTACCTATCTACCTACCTACCTACAGAAGAAACATATAATATTGTCATTTAAAATTATAAATTGCCATGCCATTCAAAGTTTCTATGTAATAAGGAAGGATACCTAGTGATGGACAGGTGGATCATGATATTGAGGTTCAGAGGGTAGAATTGGAGCAGAAGTTTCATTTAATGGGTGCAAAATAACCCAGTAGTTGACTCGCCCCTTAACCCAAATCACCACCTTTCACCTAAAAGTTGTCAATTTAATTTTGGTCATATTCCAGCTAAGTCATCAGGCCATCTAACCCCATGTAAAGCCCCTGTCTGTCTCTTCTGTGAGTTATGCGGAGCTCTTCTGAAATGAATCCTGAACATAATGAACCTAGCTAGGTTTCATGCCACACTGACACCATATGAAAGTGTTGAAAATGTGCTACAAATTTGACAACTTCATTAGGTATGCTTTATTAAGACAGCAGGAAAGCAGGTAGGTACCTACTTACCTGCCTAGATGTGTCACTGGCTACCAACAGTACCAACGAAGGTAGATAGGTACCTGTGAGGTAGGTCAATCATTCCTTCCTTTCCTTATTAATATAGCCTGTGATAAATCTGGTACATTTATGAAATAAAGTTGATAAATTGCAAGATCAACAAAGAAAACGTTTTGCCAATAAGTATGCTAAGCTTTTATAAATCCTTATTCTACGTCTTTTGATTTTTTGGTAAGATGACGTCATTGATTATCATGTAGTATGGTAGATAATCATAAAATAAATCGGTTGTACAACACCAATTTCGTTTTAATTATTATTTCATTTGAAATAAAACCACTTAATAATATTCGGTAAAATATTTTAAGGAAAATGAAATATATTAAATATGTTATGCTTAGGCTCTCAGGAGAAAAGGATCAACAAACGTTCTGCTGCAAATTAAACAATGCAGCAAATTACCTATTAATTAGGTACGTAAACGTAATTAGCGAGGCCTTGATTAGCGAGACGAAAACGGCGCTTTTGTTTCAGTTATTTTTGTAGGGGTTTCAGATATTTATAGAGTTCAGTGGGTTGTTTCTGAGGAGATGTGGTCGTGGAGATGTGAATTATTAATTAATCACACTTTATTAGTATATAGGGCCTTGCACTTTATCATCTGGATTAAAAAAAAGTTTCCTGCTGAGTGCAGAAAGGTAGGTAGGTGCATCGCCAGGTTCTATCACCAGGATAAGGATTGGAGCAGTTATTGCAGTTGAAAGTCAAAGTTGGCTGTTCATGTTTAGGCCCTGTTCTTTATTTGGCCATCTACCCCATATTGCAGTTGTGATGACAAGCAGTTTTCAGTGTAGTTTTGTGATCTTTGATGTCATCAATTGGTGTCATTATTTTTCATCAACTAAAACTTATTTGAACTTTCCATTCAATCGACTCAATCATACGAGTCACTCTAATTTTCGGGAATCAAATCAGTCAACCAGTCGCTAAAGTCAAACGAGTCAGTCAACCAGTCATCTCGAAAAGTCAATCGACTCAATCCAATCAACTCAAAATACGCGTTGAAACAAATCAATCAATTCAATCGACTTGATTGGTATACAACCCTGGTTGTGAGTGCCGAAACTGGTAATTGTGAGCCAGGGACCCCATTTTGGCTATCTCAACTCAAATCTAATGTTAAGGTGGGAGGCACGTTAACATTAGTTTTGAGTTGAAATACCCAAATTGGGGTCCTTGGCTGGAAATCACCGGTTTCGGCACTTGCAACATCGAGAAATGCCTTAGATCGAAAATATTTAGATTCAAAGTTCCAGCACTTTGGATTCAGAGGGGCTAATGCACTTAGATGCCCCCTCTTAATGTGTGACATCACCGATTTACTTAAACTTTGGTAAGACAATTTTTGCAATGGTTTTATAGATACTAAATTGCGCGTGACATATCCCGCACTTTCAAGATACCACATTATTGCTTCCAAATGACGTCATAGGAACAGGTAAGGCCCTGGAAAGGGAAAAAAGTTAAAGTCTTATGTCCAGACTGGTGTTTGATTCACCGTGATTGAGTCGAAAGGTTTGATTCACCGTCCGGATGGTTTGATTTTTAAGCCATGATTGAATCAAACTCATTGGGAATCAGGGTTGATTGAATCAAACAAATTAACCCTCGCACGACCAGGCCATTTCTCATAACACGAACGACCAGGGGGGGGGGTTGTTACGACCCCCCCCCTGGCGTTTCGAAACGGAAGGTCGTAGAGCTTAGCGGAAAAAACCAACGGATTGCTCTTAACGAGATCTCGCGATTGGTGGTATATTTTTTGGTCCTAGGTCAACATTTGACCTACTTATGACCGGTCAAAGGTCAAATTTTCCGAAAAAATCAAACTTTTTCAACTTTCCGCGGCGATTGCGGCAAAACGGTGGGAGATATCGACTTGAAATCTTCACTATCGTGTTCCTTGATTAATTCTCTATCGTTTGGTATGTATTTCGTTTCCCTAGCTCTAAAAATGGCGCGTTGGGAGCGCCAGAAGTCGGCAAGGTCACAGTCGGCGGCAGAAATTCGAAAAATCAAAATTTAAATTTTTGAAATCTGATTGTATTTTTGGATTTGGGAGGTCCATTTGCTCCCTATAGAAGCTAATATTGCTGCATATTCCCATTGAGGTGACAAGAATTAGCAAAATAGTGGTTCGGGCGCTTTTCAAAAATAGTACCGGACGCTGTTCCTCTTGTGACGTCATAGCTCCGTGACCTGACCTGACCCGGTCAATTTTCTTGCACCACACGATAGCCAATGCTTGCCCCAACATGCATGGGAAGTTTCATCATGATCCATCAAACAATGTGGGTATCACCGGCAGAAAACCTAGGGATTCGGCGCACACGTTTGGTAACTGTCGGCCGGAGGCTGTACCTCTTATGACGTCATAACTCCGTGACCTGACATGACCCGATCAATTTTTTTCGGCAAAAGATGCGCAAAGGTTGCCCCAGAGGGTATTGAAAATTTCAGCCCGCTACGACAAGCCGTTTAGCGTGCACTTCGAAAAAACCTCAGGGGGGGGGGTTGATACAACCCCCCCCCCTAGGCGTTCTAGGGTTAACGATTCATGAACCTTAAAAAAAAATGAAGCGAACATAGTTCATCAACAAATGTTAACACTACTGCCATGTGATGATAATTGCATACCAACAAAAAGAACACAATAAATACAATACTATCCCTGATATTTATCTTTATTTTTAAATATAATAAAAAAAAGAATCGTTCAATAACTTTTTGGCTGAATCAAACGTGAATCATTCCTTTTTTCTCATTCTCTGAATCAAAAGGAATCGATTCACCAATTTTTTTGGAAGGAATCGAACAGTGATTGAATCAAACAAAAAACAAATGAATCAATGATTGAATCGATCCAAAAAAGGTGAATCAATAACCAGTCTGCTTATGGCAAAAAAAAAACGAGCAATATTTTAAGTGAAATTTGGTGGATATTCATGTTTGTTCTTTCTGAACCAAGATACATCACTTTCATGCCAATTCGTTAACTTTTTCGAGGTGAGAGGGTCCCTTTAAATTTGTTATTTGAATCAAGAGGTGACGCATGTCGCCGCACGAACGACCCAGCCAGCCTGCCTTCGTGGTTAGCGTGGGAGCTCGGTCCACAACCACGGCGATGATGCCCAGCTGTGGAGCCGTACAAGCACAGGCGCAAGACTAAGCAACCACGGGCAGATCTTCTTTTCAATGTGTGGTGTGTGCACGCCACCACACTCCCCAGCAACAGGGATTTACTATGCAGCAAGGGCGGGCAATCGGAGAGATTGCCGGTACGGCGGACAGCCAGGTGCCCACACCGTACCAAAGTAGATATGCTGGGATTTTTAGCAAGCCCTTGGTCTCGAAGATCTCGAAGAATCTCGTTGGTGTTGATGGCGGACAATCTACCAATTGGAGAGATTGCCGGTACGGCGGACAGCATGGTGCCCATTCCGTACCACGTCGACGGCCCATGTCTCGAATAATCTCGCTGATGTCGATGGCGGACAATCTACCGATTGCCGGTACGGCGGACAGCATGGTGCCCATTCCGTACCACGTCGCCTTGGGGCCCAGGTCCAGTCTCGAAGAGTCTCGTTGATGTTGATGGCGGACAATCTACCGATTGGAGAGATTGCCGGTACGGCGGACAGCATGGTGCCCATTCCGTACCACGTCGTCTTCGGGCCCAGTCTCGAAGACTCTCGTTGATGTTGATGGCGGACAATCTACCGATTGCCGGTACGGCGGACAGCATGGTGCCCATTCCGTACCACGTCGGGGGCCCAGATCTGGTCTCGAAGAGTCTCGTTGATGTTGATGGCGGACAATCTACCGATTGGAGAGATTGCCGGTACGGCGGACAGCATGGTGCCCATTCCGTACCACGTAGTCCCGGCGCCCAGTCTCCAAGAGTCTCGTTGATGTTGATGGCGGACAATCTACCGATTGGAGAGATTGCCGGTACGGCGGACAGCATGGTGCC